GCCTGTTGGAGCGGCGGGGTTGGGGAGGGGCTGTGTGGCTGGGGCGATGGGGGTAAGGGACTGCTGGGGGGTGGTGTGGCTGGAGTGGGGCTTGGGGTTGGGCTGGGGGGTAGGCTGGGGGTTGGGCTGGGGGGTAAGCTGGGGGTTGGGCTGGGGGGTAAGCTGGGGGTTGGGGGTGGGCTGGGGGGTGGGCTGGGGGGTGGGCTGGGGAGCGGGCTGGGGGGTGGGGGTGGCAGCTGCATTTCGGTCCAAAGCCATGTCTCGTCAGTACGCAGCAGTACAGTTTTATTGGGTGCGAACAATGTCCCGGAGCCCCACGCATATCCCACCCCATTGTAGACCCGTAAGGCCAGCATGTTCGCTCCCGCCACCAGGTTGATTGAAGTGTAGAGAAAACCTGTATTAGGCGGGGGAAGCCCTCTTCCATTTACAAACAATACACCAGAATCGTCAGCCCTTAGGTGAAACGTGGCGTTCACAACTGGCTCGGACGTGGTGTAGATTTTATAAAAGTACGTGAGCCAGTATTGCGAAGGGCGGTTCCATCCACTACCAAAAGCGTTCGGACCGGACCAAACAACGATGGCATTCGGATCTGGCCATGATTGAGTGGTACTGGACATGTCGTAGGTGCATACACCTGCATGCAGCAGTACAAGCAACGCATGTGCATGATGTGTACACGTGTATATTTATGCATGTATGTTTATGCATGTATGGACGAATCATGGTTGTCGCTTGAATTAACGAGAACGGCATCATCATCAGATGGCGCCCGTTGCATACGTAGCACGACGATGCATGAACAGCACGCAGGATGTGTGAAACAGGGGGGTGTATCTTCGCCCGTGGCAGCTACCCTGCGAAACCCTGCCTTCCCCGGTATTTCGGGGCACCCTCATCCAGTCACCCTAGCCAATTTCTCAGTGGATCGCTCAGGTTCCGAACCCACCACCAGCATCCAACGGAATCTGCCGGGTCGACAGCGGCCCAACTCCAATCCTGGTCGGCTCGCAAGTTAACTTTATCCCAGGTCACCACCGTCCATCAACTAGGGGCGCAGTGCCTTCCACCAATCGGAAGGTCTTTAACCCTATCGGGTATCGATCCCGGGATCTCCCGGGGGCAATGGTCGCGCCTTACCAGTGGTGCCAAACCCTAAATGATGTATAGATGCCTGCTACCCACCACCAGCCAAACTGGTGACTTGTCAGAGTAGCAAGCCCCACGACACGCACTCATCACCACCGACCTCTCTTTGCACCAGCCACCCGATCGCCATCTTGGTAGAAGCCGGGTATTGACTGACCCGGTGGAATGATGTCCCCCTGATCCCCCTTCAGGCGGCACGTGCTGCTACTGCGAACATAGTCCCAGTAGAGACAGGTGGCGCTGCTGTAGCAGGCCTGACAGCAGGCCCCCTCATCGGGCTGGCTGCTGGTGGACAGCGCAGCGGAGTCGATGCCGTACCCAGCGCCGTACATGACCTGAAGCGTGCAGGCTACGATGGAGGGGATGTGGAAGACGGCAGCAGGCGGTGGTGGTGAGTGAACACGACATGCAGGCAGTCAGCAGTCAGCAGTCCTTATTAGGCCATGCTGGACGGGAGCTCACCATGTCCACTCCACTCCACTCTAGTTAACAACCCCGGCCACCATTTTTAATTTACGATCCAGCCAGATACCTCCACGTCAGGATAATAGGGCCCGCGATCGGATCAGGCGGTGGTGTAAGTGCGCCCCGGCGGGAGTCGTCGGCTGTGTACGTGGCATGCATGGAAATGCGATATACACAACCCGCTGAAACTGGACCACGCAGCCGATAGACCTATACCGCCTGCGATACCTAGTGTGGTAGTGTAGTAACTAAGCTCGCGTGTAACCCCGACCTATCCGGCGTGGACCCCGCACGCACTCACTGTACTTGGGGGCTGTGCGCGGGCCATCCGATACACCATACACCATACACCCAATGTTATATCACCCAAGACTTATGAAATCAGAAAATTACCGATCGGCGGATGCAGATCCCGTGAACAGTTTATAAAATGCATATAGCCAGGATAGTACACCCGCACATGCGCGCATGTGTAGATGCATACATGCACGCATATATGCACACACGTATGTATGTATGTGTGAAACAGGGGGGTGTATCTTCGCCCGTGGCAGCTACTCTGCGAAACCCTGCCTTCCCCGGTATTTCGGGGCACCCTCATCCAGTTACCCTAGTCAACTTCTCAGTGGATCACTCAGGTTCCGCACCCACCACCAGCATCCAATGGAATCTGCCGGGTCGACAGCGGCCCAACTCCATTCCTGGTCGGCTTGCAGGTTAACTTTATCCCAGGTCACCACCGTCCATCATCTAGGGGCGCAATACCTTCCTTGATCGGAAGGATTATTGATCCTAAAGGTTATCGATCCCGGGATCTCTCGGGGGTAATGGTCGCGCGTTACCAGTGGTGCCAAACCCTAGTATGTATGTATGTTTATCTGTCTGACGTACTACACTGCTGCATAAACTAGGCCTAGGTAGGTTGCTAGCTAGCACGCGCAGTCAACCAGCAGTAGTCTTGCCCTCAACATAACAAATAAAGCCACGATATATACTCTTGACATGTCCAGAATTTTACTGAACAGTAATTTTACTGTACAGTACTGCCAACGGTCGCAATGTCAACAGTAATCCACCTGCGGGTGTGCCGTACACTTGCAACTCAGCCACTGCCAAGTTCATCGATGACGTGGTGTTGATGTTGCCGTTTCGAACCGTGAGGATGCGACCAGTAGTCCTACTACTACTGCCCGATGGACCATTGACGACCAGAAATGAAATCAAACCGCCGGTCGTGCCAGGCCCAGTAGGAGTTTGGCTAAGTAGAAAATTGTACGTGAATAAGACTGGCCTGGTCGAGACATCGAAGCCGCCAAGTCGGAACTCAGGATTTACAAGCTCATTCCCGCAGCAATCCCTCCGAAGGTAGAGCGTTATACTGGAGACGGTCACCAGCTCCCCGAAGTCGACCGCTAGCCATTGACCTGTGACGTTGGCGCTGATGAAGGTGCTGCTCCTGCTGCCGTCCGGGGGAATGATGCCATCGTTCGCCCTGCCTGCGAAGTATTCACTGGAGAGCACTGAAGACGCGAAGATCCGCTTCTCGATGGCGATGTTGGCGAGGGGGGGTGGCGGAGGCGGAGGCGGTGGTGGCGGTGTCGTAATAGCGCCTGCATGCGCCGGCATACACAGCATACACAGCATCATGGGCGTACTACATTGGTTGCGCGTGGTGCAGCATATCTGTGTCAGCCGAATGTACGACACGCATGATTACATTTATAAATGGGCAATGGACTGGCACACTGTTGGCCATAGCCAGATATTGCCCTTTACGTACATGCTTGGGTGATTCATTACTTGCGGACACGCACCTTTTAATTCCTTACGGTTATTACCACCACTACTACTATTATTACAAATATTACTATGATTATTGATACCACTACACAAGCCAGGATTATCATTCACCTTGCCCATTTACTGTGATATGCTCCATGGGGGGTGCCGCCACCAAGTATAACAGCAGGAACGTCAAGGAGTACGGCATTTTGCCTTGCATTAGCGTAAGGTGTAGGCCGCGCTGCTGCATTAGCACCGTACGATTGCCGTACCGCGCTGCGCTCTCCAGCGTGCCAGTCGTCTGGACTGAATAAGTACCTGCTGTACGACCACTAGGTAGGGAGTAGGACTCCACCACTCACGCCATGCAAGGGTTCCTCGTGGGCCGAGTGTGATATGAGAATTTCAAAATTAAACTCGCAGCTCGCCGGTTAGCAGATGAAGGGGCCAAGGAGCAAGGTACTTTGCTTGATTGGCTGCGTAACCATATATGTATGTTGGATGCCGGCGGTGGGTGCTGAACATGAGCGATCCACTGAGAAGTCGACTAAGGTGACTGGATGAGGGTGCCCCGAAATACCGGGGAAGACAGGGTTTCGCCGGGTAGCGGCCACGGGCGAAGATATGACCCCCCTGTCCCACACATCATGTACGTGTATGGATTGATTGATACGTTCACGTTGCCGCCTGCTGGGTGGAGGGACGGGTATACCGGCATAGTAAGACGACAAGACGCATCCATCGTTGAAAGCAAAAGCTTTTTTCGTGTGTAAAATTTTTTGATCGCCTTTGGGTCGTGTCCTCGTATCATAGCAGATAGGGATGGTCCTTACCTAGCACACAAGGGCTCGAATTGCACACGAAATTAAGCATCAGACGTGCGTTATATTGCATACGTACCCTTTCTTGCTTGCGTGTGCTTCCCTGGCCAATCGCTCGCCCGGCCGGCGGTACAAAAACAGCTTATTACCGTAGTTGCAAAGCTACCTAAAAAGCCAAGCTACTCTTGAACGAGACGAGCTGCTTCGTTTCCTTGGGGCCCTGTTATCAGCAAGCTACGCCATGACCGTGGTGAGGCAACGTCTTTGAGAAGCGAGTAAGCGAGTAAGCGCACGAAGGACATTTTTGTTGACGCCAAGCAGGTGCGTCCAATGTACTATTAGCTAGCTCGCTTCGCTCAACGTTTGGAGTATTTGTATTATGAATATGGGATGAATCATATTTTTTCCTTTTCCCCCTCTCTGTAGCTCTATTACCAGATTTTATTTCTATCGCCCACTCAGGGTAAATAAGTGACAAGGTACTAGTCACCACATCTCCTTGGTGACATGGGTTTATTTGCCGCTGCGCGCGTGTATACGAACTCGTGCGGAGTTAGTTGCACACGCTATGCATGCACCTATCGCCGCCGATTCGTCTTAAAATACTACACTCGAATCGATCTGTGGCGATATGGCGATAAGATCTACTACAGGGTCAAAATCAATGACAAAAAATCATGTGCTATATACACCTGGCTGTTACACGTATTATTATGTGCGTCGTCTGTCCTGCTCGTCGCATATCGATCTGTCGCCGGCTGGCCGTTACAATTAGTTAATATATACCGGCGGGTGTACATACATGGTTTGTTACATGTACATATATATATATAGATGCTGCTTGCACTAAGCTATGTCTCACTCCGCGATCCGCAGCCTCTTCTTTATCTACATATATGTGCTTTACAAGTTCATGTGCTACTGCTGAAACTAATAACGCCCGCTGCAAATGAAAAAATATAATATTTTACGACCCTGTCTGTAGACCAAAAAGAAATTACAGACGTATGCTGTGGATCTGCGGAAGCAGAAAAGCATGTTCGTTTCATTTTTTCACAACGCACGCTCGCACCTGCCACATACATATGCGCGTTTCGTTTATCTTTATCGTCAATGCTGCTGCTGATGGCAATTGGTCACTACTTGCCAGTCCGCTGTTGTCTGCCGTTTGTCGCGAGCTTCAAGCAGGCTTGCTAACTTTGACATATGTAACAATACATACACGATGTTTCATATATATTATATATATGTATGTAAGAAGCCTGCCGTTATCGGGCGAGAATGAAACGACCATCTCGGTTTTTCTGAAGTAATGTTATCCTACCTTACTTGCATGGAATGGCCAAGCGAGATGAGTGGCATCCAGCGGCTCTGCCGTCTTTCCGGAAGAAACTCATTATTATTATTGGCCATCTAAGCAATTACTACCCAGCCGTGTCTAGCCATCAATGCAGTGCATGCGTGCAAACACGCACGCCGCCCCGGCCAGGTGCCAACTACGTATAGAACTCATCATCCATCATGGTAATGAACGCCTAGGGAGTCGAGACGGGCTGTGTGGGTGGGTGGGTGGGTGAGGAATTAGAGTGCCCACCAGCTTCGTCCATTCCTCGTAGGAAATGCTGCTGCTGCTGCGACGGCGGCGGCGGCGGCAGCATCGGCGCCGTCTGCTGAATGCTGATGCTGACGCTGCTTCGGAGGGATCTGTTGATTATGCTGCTGCGGCGGCGGGGGCGTCTGTGGATGAATCCACAGCATATGCTGCTGCGGCGGCGGGGGCACCAAATACGTCATCGGCGGCATCGGCGGCGGCGGCTTCTGGGTATGCCGAGGCGGCGGTGCCTACTACTACGGCGGCGATAGCTACGGCGGCGGCGGTGGCTTCGGTGGCTTCAAGTTGCTGTGGTGTGTGCGGTTTCCTCTCGCCGGCTGCAAGTGGCTACGGCAGCAGCAGGCTGGCAGATACATCGCGATTCACAGTGCAAATGCTTTCCAAAGCTACAATAATAATTTACGAAATTAAGCTACAGTTTTAAAAAAGGTTCTGTGTCCTCAGTGATCTATTGCAAGCTAGCTAGAGTTCCTCGGACACTGGAATGAAACGTTCCAAACGCTCCCACGCTTTCGCCACATGCATCGAAAAATTCGAGCCTAAGCGTATCAATCCAAGCCTTCGTCTGCCAATCCAAGACATTGGTTCAGGAATCAATGGCTGCATGTTGCTACATAGCTGCGGAAGAAATAATCCTCAGCGAAAGCTTATATCTTATTATCATTTTTGCTACTGTAAAATTTACGGAGTATCATGCGTCACGGTATGTGCTCAAAGTGGTAGCCAGCCACACAGGACATGCATTACATTTATAGCGCGATTAATTTCTGAATTGCAATGCCAGCCCTTAATCGCTGGGCTTGAAGCGAGAATGTGTGCCTCGAGAGGCGCATACATGCATATTGCATAGAGAGGCTATTATTATTATTGTTGTTGTTGTTGCTTCCTGAGCGCTTCCCTCGGGCGCTTCCTTCAGCTCCAGCCGCTCCAGCATCCCCTTATTAGATTGCTTTGGAGGCACACAGGCATCGTCGTCCGGGACTTTTCATTATAATGAACGAACTGCTGTGAACTGCTGAAGGCGGCGGCTTTCACTTCAGCAGGGCTTTCATCATCACAGCTTCGTTTGTCTTGGCGCGGCCGACCGCAAACGGGCGCATCAGCCGTGAGCCCGACCCGACATCAGGCGACGTGCTCGCCTGCTATCCAGGTTGTTCAGGGTTGCACCGCCCTTGCTCCTAAGGGCGCCCAGAAAGAAAAAACAGTACCGTCGTCACCGCCGCGAAGAAAGCACACAACGCACGCGCGGCTGTCAACGCAAAAAGCGTGCGCACAAGAGTTGCTTGTTTTCACGGCGGCTTGCTCCAAAAGGTGAGGACAACGGTGAGCGAGGTAAAAATTAAACAGTATGACGATGAATGTTCCTTTTCCGCGGTTAACGCCGAGGCATGCTCATAACAACAAGGAATCTTGCAAGATTCGAGGCATCCAGATAGCGTAGCATTCTATTCTATCTTCACAACGAAGCAGCAAGCTGACCTAAGCCAGCAGAGCCTCGACGCATGGATACCTCGCACAATATTTCATCCCACACGCCTGCCAACATCACCTCGTCCTTATAGACTTGCACACCGAGCAGGCCGACGAAACGTGCAGCCCGTATTTTGAAACCTTGCTGCTGCGCTCCTATTGGATAGGAGCCGCGTAACTTTTTCACAACATTTTGTCTGCCATACGCACATCCATGCTTTGTCGATGCTGCAGTCGTAAGACGCGACATAACAACGCCCTACGTAACTGCTTGGACCACTGCTCCGCGTCCATGTAATAAGCCCGTCCTACTCTGCTAGCAGACGGAAGTGGCCCCTCAAGGTGCCACCTATCATCTCCACAGCGAGGAGCCCAGCTAAGCTAAATACTCAGACCGTCTATCTACCGTGCTCGACCCGCTGTAGGCAAGATTTTCCGACGAAAATATATAATCCGCTTATCACCTATTTGCTGGGCGCGCTGCCTCGTCTGTCTGATTCGCTTGCCCGCGCGCGCTTTGCCTTCTTTCCCGTCCTCTGTCCCCCTCACCCGGCTGCTCCACGTCTCCGTACCCCGCCACGCAACCCGCTGGCACCCCTCCGTGTTCCTTCAGCACACCTCCGAGACCCCCGAGACCGCAGCCAGCAGTAACTACTGCGACTGCTACTGCGCCGCTTTCTCTGTGTACGGCATTACCTCGCACAAAAGAGACGATGATGTACGACAGTAACACCTTCAGTAGCACTAGAAGCAATAATGGCGGCGGCGGCGATGCCGCCGCCGCCGCAGAGAGCAGCAAACTAGGCGGCCCGACAGGTGTGCACGCCGCCGCCGCCGCCACAGCAGCAGTAGCGGCAGCAGCAGTCACGTCACGACACGTCACGGCAGTGCCGTGCATTGGACAACCATCACCCTCCGCCGCCACAGCTGCTGCGCCGACGGAAACGGTACGACTGTCCTCGAGTGCCGCTGCCGTACATCCACTCCGCAGTGCCCTTTCCCCGCACTCCGCCAACTTCGCCGGCTCGTCCCCATCCTCGTCACCATCATCGGGGACTTCTTCCTTTGCAAGCATTATTGCGCCCCATCTTCCCATGGAAGGTTCCCGTAGAAATGACGAGGAGTACGGCGACGGTGACGTCGATAGCGGAGGCGGAGGCGACGAAAGCGACGTACAGCAGATTGCCGCCTGCAGCTCTTTCGACGGCGACGGCGACGCGAAAACTGCAAGCAGCGGGTCCGCTTCGCCACCGCCGTCGACTGCGTCGGCGATCCAGATTGCGCCAACAACGGTGCAGCCGGAGCCGCCGGAGCTGCGGGCGGCGCCGCCGCTGCCGCCGGCGGCGTTCCCCGGCGCGGCAGTACCGCTAGCAGCGGCGGCGGCGGCGGCGCTTCTGCCTCCCAGCCAGTTCCACCGCTACTTTGCACGGATGTACGAAGCACATGCTGAGGCGATGGCGGAGCTAGCGGCGGCGGCGTCTGCGGTTCCGGCTCACGGCGGCGGCGGCGGCGATGTAGCCGTCAACGACAGCGCCGACGATGCCATCCTTCGGAGCGCGGCGGATTCAGAGCTATGGCTGGCTGCGGCGGCGGCAGCGGCGGCGGCAGCGGCGGGGCCACCGCCACCGCCGCCCCCACCACCGCCGCCGCGGCAGCATGCTCCGATCAACGGTACCGCCGCCGCCGCCGCCGCCGCCGCTGGCGGTCATCGCCACCGGTCCCACGGAAGCGGCGGCCAGTGCTGGACATCGCTGGCAGAGTGGCGGCAGCGGAATCTGTGGGAGATTGAGGCGACGGAGGGGCTTGTGGCAAACCATAACTTCATACAACCACCTACGTACAATCAAGCCGTACAACGCAACCGATGGCACGACATCTCGGCATCGGCGTCACTGCCGCCGCCGCCGCCGCCGCCGGCGGCGGCGGTCCTACGGCATTCATTAAGCACCGGCAGAAGTCCTTACTGGCCTGCAGCTGCCGCCTGCACCTCCGCCGCGCGAGCATTCACAGCGCCACCGCCGCCGCCGCCACCGCCAGTGCCGCTACCGACGCCGCCGCGGGGTCCTGCGCCATCTGTCGTCGGCGCCGGCGGCGGGGCCACCGGGGCCAATGTGCTCAGCCCTGCTGGGAAGATGCTGTACAGGTTCTTTAGCCAACGGGCCGCCGGTGGCGGCGGCGTTTGCGGCGGTGGTGGTGGTGGTGGTGGCGGCGGTGGTGACGTTGGCGGCAGTGCGATTGACGGTACCGGTGGCGGCGGCGCCGGCGGAGCTGACGGCCGCGAAATCGCGGCGGCGGCGGCGGTGGCGGCGACGGGCGGTTGTTTTACCGTATTTTCCACATCGGAGGCAGTGATGGCGCTTCAGGACAACGATGGAATTGAGGTTCGGACTTCGAGTCCTGCTGCCGACACAGCTGCTGGTTCTCCTGCTTGTGATGATGAAGCTGCTACACCTGCTGCGAGTGCTGCTGATGCGATATGCATGTTCGGTGCCGGGAAAGACTGCATAGTGCGGAAGCATGCAAACGCCGCCGATGTCACTGTGTACGACATATACAACGCCGATGGTCAACGTGTGCACTCATCGCCGGTGGGTTTCTACGACGATTCGGACCTGGCGGCCCTGTCGTATCTGCCGTACCTTGGCCTCAATGACGGTTTCTCGGCGGACGCGCAAGTACACGGGTTACAGTACGGCGGCGGCGGCGGCGGCGGCGGTGTTGGTGGTGGTGTTCGCTCACGGCCAATGGATGGCGCGTATGAGTCATTGCACGGCGCGTCGCCATATTCGCATCCGTTGTACGGCGGCGGCAGTGTCTTTGCGTCACCGACGTCGAACCATCCTGCGTCGCCGCCGCTGCACGGCGGAGAGCGAGGTCGCGGCGGCGGCGGCGGCGGCGGCGGATTCATGCCTGGCGACGGCCCGACCGGCGGCGGTATCCGTGGCGGCGGCGGCGGCGGCGGTGGCGGCTGTCTGCGGTTGGAGTCCCTGTTTGGTCGCCTGGTGACTTTGAGCTGCGACCAGCAAGGCAGCCGGGTGGTGCAGCGGCTACTGTGCTCGGCACACAGCGAGCAGGTGGGCGTGTATGTGTGTGTGTATGCTGTATGTATGCGTGTATGCGAAGTGGGGAGGGAGCCGGAAGGGGAGGGGGCGGGGAAGACCTGGTAGACGGTCGGGGGAAGGTCTTCCAGTCGCCTGACGTCGTCGACATCCGTAGCGACAGGCCAAGCAGCCATTGCCACCAATACGGTCTGCAAACCAGGTCCAGTCCATAAACTAGACGTCATCTCCACATACCACCAAATCCTCACTCTGCCGAACAATTTGAGGATACTGCCCGATTGAGGATCTGAACCCTAACATCATAATGTGCTAGATGAAGCGACGACATCAGAGCTAGATAGGAAATGTATGTCAATTGTCTGATACGAAACCTGAAGCCGATAAAAACAACATTGCGTTACCGGGGAGTCGAACCCCGCTCTTTTGCTTGGAAGGCAAATATCCTACCGATGGACTAGTAACGCCTGATGAACAATGACAGAATAAAAGCTATTATATAATTTACTGTAGAACGTGTGCAACGTGTGACCGTGGTTACCGTGGCCAGCACAGTCGAGTAACGAGTAAATATGGAATGTACGAACAAATGTACGGCACACAGGTCGGTCGCTGCTTGGACGAGCTGTTGCCGTGCATGATGGAAGTGGCATGCCACCCGTACGGCAACTACGTACTGCAGCAGTTAATGACTGTTGGTAAGTTGGCTTGGCGCTTGGATATGCTGGTGGTGCTGTGTGTTTGAGGTGGGGGGGAGGAGAGGGGGGGGGGCAGACATGCGCAATAGGAGTGCGGGAGAAACACCGGTGCATGTGCGTTTCGGTCAGGAAGAGGGATGAGGCGCCAAGATATCGTCTGATAACTATTGTGCCTAAAATATCATTGTTTCTGTGACGCTGTGTCACGTTGAATTCCCCCTAGAGATTTCAAAATAAATATATATTCTCGTATGTGTAGTATGAGTATTAGGAAGTATGTCGTTACCTGAAATCTATGATCATGTTCCTGCCAACCGCTAACTTCCAACACCTGCCCAACTCCTTCCAACTCCTAACCAACCAATACAAGGCGGCTCCCGGCACAAGCTGCGGATTTGCGGGGTTCTGGCAGGGCATATTCTGGAACTCTCCTTCGACCCGTACGGCTGCCGTGTCGTACAGAAGCTCCTGGAGGTGAGCCGTACAAGCACGTCGTACACGGACACATATATCGTTTAGCACTGGCCAGGGATGGGAATCGGTGCTGTAGCAGCTGTTTATTATCGCTATATTACCTGTGGCCATTGCTGTTAGTACGAGCGCCGCGTTACTCAGGCCACATTACTAATACCATGCTTGTTTCTATGCTGCGGCACAACGACCACCCAACTGCTTCAAAAGGTGGTTCCGGAGGAGCAAGCTGCTGCTGCGGTTTCGGAGCTTGACGGTGCTGTTATGCGTTGTGTACGGGACAAGGTGGGTGTCATGCATCCGTACATTTCGATACGTGCCCTGCCCCTCCCAGCAACCTAGCGGCCAATTCCTCGCCCCGCCCCGCCCCGCCCTTGCTCTCGCAACTTCCCCCTTCTAACCGACGCCTGTCCGACGTCTTCAACTACCAACTGCCAACTGCCAGTGCGCCCACCACGTGCTCCGAGCCGCGCTCCACCACGTACCCCACCACCGCCAGATCTTCCTGGTGGATGGACTGCAGGTGGAGGGGGGGGGGGCCAAACAGAGGGGAAGGAGGGGGGAAAGAGGGGGGAAAGGACACGCGCGTGCGGGTTTTAGTGGTGTTCAGTGGGGGAGTGTGGGGAACTCCCTAAGTGCTTGCGTGCTTGCCTTCGTGGTGGGGGGAGGGTCACGTGAGGTTCTGTTAGTTAGTTGGAGGAGTGTTGGGGGCTGTCGAGATGTGGCTGCGTTCCCATAGCGCATACACACACACATACACACACACACACGCTCCTGAGTCTCAAATGCTGAGTATATTTCGTCTGTGTCGCTCTTCCCCGCCCCTCCTTGTCACCGTCACGGTACGGTGCGGCGCGGTGGCTCGGTTGTTGTACACTCGTACGGCAGGCGGCACTGCCTTCCCTTGCTCGTCATCCGTACGGCTGTCGGTTAGTCCAGTCGTTACTTCAAACGGTTTGCGAGCCTGAGAGATGGAGAGCCATTGGGTGGGACCTGTTACAGGTACGTGCGTATGTATGTATGTGTGCATATGCACGTATGTGTATGTGTGTGTATTGAGTTTGGAAGGGTAGCGGCCGAACGGTCCAAACCCTGTATACATATGTGTGATATGCGGCACATTGTAATGAGGGGATGAGAGTTTGTTGGTGTGTGTGTATGTGCGTGTGCACGGCAGGTGTGTATACTTCCGGTTATGGATTCCGGCTGTGACCTCCCGCCAGGCACACGTGCACACATACACACATACACACACGCCTGAGTGTGCTCCATCACCCCAGGTATCCAAACCCACTCTCCCCCAACCCCCAACCCTCAACCTCCAACCTCCAACCTCCAACCAATGCGCCGGCACCTCAGAGCGGCACTCAACGGGTTCACGTGCACTCACCCGCCTCACGCTACCTACCGCACACACACACACACACATATCTCACATCGCCCAACCAATCGTCGAGCCCACCCTGGAGCGAACATTTTCGAAAGAACCACCACCGCCACCAACCGCCACCAACCGCCACGTGGCCTCCAACACCCTGAAGTAGCTGGCCGCCGCGCTGGAAAGGCCTCTCGAGATGCTGCCAGTGGCGGAGCGCTTGACCACCGCGTATTTGTAGTTGTTCTTCAAGTTGCCGTACTGTGTACTACCGGCTACTACACACACACACACACTCGCGCCTTCCCCCGTACAGGACGCAACTCAGCTTGGAGGCCACGAGTACGGCAATTACGTCATGCAGACGCTGGCGCAGGTGTGGAGGCGATGGGAAGACTGCCCTTGCGCACGTTCGTTTGTTTTCATGTATGTACGTATGTACGTATGAGCATGTGTGTATCATCATCACATCGAATTACATGTATCACCGGGTTTTTAAATCTGAAGTAGTTGCGCCAAGAGCCCCCCTATTTCCCCCGGAGCATGAACGGGTCATCGAACGTAATGGGATATATATATATATATATATATATATATATATGCAGATATGGGTTTCACCCCCCACCCCCAGCACACCTCACCCCACCCCATCCGCCGTGTTTAGGTCGCCGCACCTCCCGTACGGTCGGCGCTTACGGCGGCTCTGGCGCCGCACTCCGTGCGCTTGGCGTGCTGTCGACACGGCAGTCCCGTACTGGAAGCCGTACTCAAGTACGGCAGTGATGCAGATCGGGAGGTGCTCCTAACGGCATTGCTCGGGGTGAGATCCGAAGTGCCCCCCCGGGGCGGGGGAGGGTTGGGGGGGGTGGGGTGGGGGGAGGAGGGGAGGTAGCGCGGCCTGGAGGTGGTGCGCCAAGGCTGGAGGGGGTGCGTGTCCGCCTCTAACACACATACATACACACGCACGCGTCCCCCCGTCCCCCACCCCACCGTAAGCTTGCCGCCCCTCCCCCGACCCCGTGTATGTGCACGCTACCCACACACCCATATATCCATCCACTCACCCGCCCCGCCCGGCCAGGCACCTGAGGCGGGGAGCACCGCCGGCGGCGGCGGCGGCGGCGGGAGTAGCTCGTACCAATCCGGCCGTCGTACGGCACGAGACGCGTCGGCTTCCCCCTCCTCCGGAAGCCAGGTTGACAGCGAGGTGCCGTACACCCGGGGTTCCCTGCTACTGCCAGTAGCTCACGGCGGCGGCGGCGGCGGTGGCGGTGGCGGCAGTGGTGGCGGCGGCGGAAGGGCGCTTCGACTTGCATGCGACCCCTTCGGGAACTACGTCTTGCAGAGGTGCTTCCAGGTGCGTGTGTATGTATGTATGCATGTATGTATGCATGTATGTATGTGCGTATTTATTGTTACACATCTGCCAGGCCGACACTGACCGCATTGGGCACCTAGCCGTAGCCATCAGAGAGGCCGCCCAAGCACTCGGCTTCAAGTCCTCCACATGTGTTGAGGGGCGTCGTACATTGAGGGGCGTCGTACATTGAGGGGAGTCGTACATTGAGGGGCGTCGTACATTGAGGGGCGTCGTATCGCCCAACATTGGTGTCCACTAACATCCAGGTGGCGGTCGGTGTTTGTGGCGGCAGGAGCTGCGGAAACCTCCGCCTGCCGCAGTGTCCACATCCATCCACACAGCCCTCCTGAGGCCCTGAGGCCGCAGTCCCCCCCAGTCCGCATCGCCAGGCTTCTAAGCTGTAGCCCCCACTCCATTTCTATTTTCCGGCGGGGACTGAGTCTCTTTCCCCCCCCCCTTAAATCGACCGCACAGGTAGCTGCTCACCACTATTGGCAGCTCACTCGTAGTTCCCATCACCAAGCGCAGGCGGGCTATATACCCCACAGCCCCTTACCACCGTTTAGGAAGGCCGCCACCTCACCCGGGCCGCACTTGAACCACTACAACCTTGCGCAGGCAGGCGCATGTGTGTGTATGTGTGGGGGTGTGTGGGGGGAAGTTGGGGG